CAATTTAAGAAATGAGTTTGAGTTCATATTTTGAGGATTGAGGATCAGTTTGCATGAAGTGTGAAGACACACAAAAGAAAATGATGATGAGGCTTCCATTGTAGGTGGAGCCAAACATGTCTAGCATGAAAACGGATAATTTGATGAAATTTGAGTTAAGGTGAAGATTGTTGAGAATAGTGACTAAAATCCCATAAGAAATTTGTTTGGAATTGGTTAGATGTTGCTTGATGAACAACATCCTTAAGGGTATGTACGTTTGAATGGACTAGAGGAGAATGAGATGGTCCACATAAGTATGGTGGTGTGAATATTTGTGAGTGGATTAAAAGAGACTAAGAGAGTCCACATAAATATGGGTACATGAGAGTAATGGGTTTGTGTTTGTTTGGGTTGAGAATACTTCATAAGACTAAAAGAGATTGAAAGGACTTATAGGCATTGATTATTGAGTACTGATTGATATGAGTTATGTGTTTATAATTCTTTACAATTAGTGTATCTTTTTTCTCATTTGTGGACGTAAGTCGATTAGACTGAACCACGTTAAATTTTTATCTCTTGTTTGATTGATTGATTATTTGATTTTGCTAGTGTGATTGGATTGAGACTATTTAGCCTAATAAGTGATATCAAAGTTATCATGATCCCTAACAAAACAAAACAGGGCCTATTGGCATATTGCCACACAAAAGTAACAAAACCCATAAATAAAACTATAACTTTTTTAGACAACAATAATAAACAAACTGAATTGAAAAAAATTAAAAATTAAAAAGAAATGTTACCTGTCTATGAATCAAATCACCATGCAAAGAGTAAATCAAGAGGAATCCTTGGGAGTTCCCAACTGCAATCACTTTAATCTCCTCTGTAGACACCCAATTAGGTCCAGGCCCAGATCAATTGGGCCTGGCCCAAATGGGTAAGCCCAATTCAATTTTATCTTGTATTTTTTTTTCTTCTTCTTTTGTATTTTATGTATTGTATTATTTATTATTATTATTATTATGTATTAATATATGTATATATTTATTTATTTATTTTTTGTTAATATTTATGTGTATTTTATTATTTATGTATTATTACTAATATGTATATATATATTTTTTATCTTTTTTATTTTATTTATTTTTGTATTTTTACTTATCTAATTATATATCTGATTTTTTTTATTATTATTTTTATCCTATAATATCTTTTGATTTATCTTTTCTAATTATCTAGTTTTTTTTTTATTTTGATTTTTATTTTGGAGGGCTAGGATTGAAAGTTGAAGAATCCCACTGGGAGTGGGAATTCAATCAGAAGAGTCCAGACTGGATTCAAAGATTGAATTCCCGTCCAAAGGGGAATTGGGATTGATCAGAAACTCCTGATCAATCCCTATATAAAGCACCTCCTGGAACAGAATGAAACACACAGAAAACAGTAAGCAAAGCTACTGATTTGAGAGAAAAAGAGGCGTATAGGAAGCTAAGAAAAGTTCAAGAGTGTTCTGGGAGTGAGAAAAAATTTTTAGAAATTTTTGGCGAAAAATTTTTTTGAAAATTTTTGGGAAATTTCCAGATTTCGACGAAAATTCCGACGAAATTTGAATTTTTCGGCAACAATTCCGGTGAACATTGAAGTTTCCGACGACCTGCCCAGTTTTCGGTGAAGAATCCCACAAACCGGCGATATTTCGGCCAACTTCCGGCGACATTTCCAGATTCCGACGACATTTTCCAGAATCCGGCACCGTTGTTCTTCAGATTTTAGAGAGAAGGGAAAGGAAAAGGAAAGAAGAGAGAGAGAGGGGAGGAGCGTTCTGCCAAAAAACGAAGGGAATTGCCTTTTATACCCTTCCAAAATGATGTCGTTTTGGCCTTAAGTAACCAGAGGATCCGCGCATTTTGCCGAACCCGACCCGACCCGAGCGTCGACCCGCTTTCTTGACCCGCGCGTGCTGCCCCTCCTCCGAGCCGAGCCGAGCTGCGCCAAGCTGCCAAGTCGCTCCCCCGAGCCGTTTCTCTTCCTTGAGCCGAGCCGCTCCGGGTTTTTTTTTTTTTAATTTATTTATTTATTTATTAGATTAGGTTTATCTAATATTCTTTTTATCTTTATTTTATTTTTTATTTCTGTTTTACTTTTCTTTATTTATTTTTATTTTTATTTATCTTTTTATTATTCTATTTTCTTCAAATAAAAATCAAATTTTCCAAAAAAAAAATATTTTTAGGGAAAAGTTGAAAGTATCAATTTTCCTTAGAAATACATTTTCAAAAAAAGATTTTTGAGGAAAAGTTGAAAGTATCAATTTTCCTTAAGATCAAAGTTTCAAAAAAAAATATTTTTGAGGAAAAGTTGAAAGTATAAATTTTCCTTAGAAATAAATTTTCAAAAAATATTTTTGGGGAAAAGTTGAATGTATCAATTTTCCTCAGAGATAAATTTCAAAAAAAAATATTTTTAGGAAAAAGTTGAAAGTATCAATTTTCCCTACACAAGAACAATCATTCTTTCCTTTTTTCTATTTTCATTTTGATTTTGATTCTTCTGTAAATAATCCGACGACGGAGCCTCTGCAAGTGAAACAGTAGTTTTTTCTTGCATACTCTTGAGGTGAGGGAATTTTCTCAATTTTCTGCTAAAAGTATTAGAGTCAATTGAGAATAATTTCCAATAATTAATTACTTGGTAAAATTTTAAGGCTTTTGGATAATACAAATTTAAGCTGGTACCATCTTTTGATGGGCATTGTGAGGGTGCTATAACCTTCCTCACACGTAACCGAACTCTCGAACTCTGTTCTGGTTAGCAGACCTGAACCTATTCTTTTAGGGACCCTTAAACTTAGGTGTTCCCTGAAAGGACAGATTCCTTAGGTGGCCAATCGCACCTAGATAAAAAAGATTGGTGGCGACTCCTAAAAGTCAATGTCTAGCGATAGATCCCCGGATCTAGACGTTATGACAGCTTGGCGACTCCGCTGGGGACTTTGAGAGTTAGGCCAGCAAATAATTTGTGTTATCCAAAAGCTAAATAAAATTGAACCCTTATTGTATATATGTGTTATTATTCATTTATGTGTATTTGCTTGGTTAATTATGTCATTCATGTGCATATGTATAACATGAGCTCTGCACCCGAGCTTCGTCCCTCTAGGAGGGAGTAAAGTACCTATTGCTTTCATGAGGTCTAATACCTCCGCAGTGGCTAGCGAAATACTCCCACTCAAATTGAACCTTTTCCGTTTGTAGCCTGTAATGGGTGAGGATTAGGGTGCCTTACTAGTCTGTGATGGACAGGGATGTAAGGAGCAATTTGAGAACCTTTAGACTTTGACCTTAAAACCGCATGTAGTGAACCTTAAGAGTGCCTACACCTAAGATAGAGCCCTTTCTACCCAATGATAGATATACCCTGAAATTAGGACACAAAAAGAGTGTTTGTCTAATCATTTTGATTGTTTAACTTTGTGTATTATTTTTATCATATGTAACATTATGCATCAACATCACTTACGTTTCATCCACGGAACTAACTATGTTGTTTGTCTGATTATATGCATCTGTATTCTTTTCATGATCATATTTCAACACAATCATTTGTATTCATTTCATACTAGATTTCATTCAAAAAATGTACATTTCATTTGTATATCAAAGCATCATACATAAGGCACAGCATAACATTTCTAATCATAAGTATGGTACTCAAGGTCTGAGGATAGCTCCATCTAGCGAAAACCCTGCTCATCCATACAACACAAGATCCAGAGCAAGGCAAATGGAAGAAGAAAGTTCTCATAGATTTGAAAAGCTAGAAAAAGCTCAGGAGAAGATTGAAAGTGAACTAAACAAGATTCTGGAGGCCCTCAATAATATGAATAAAGAAAAAAGAGTTGAAGGAAGTACAAGCCAGCAAGAAGTGGCTGACCCTTTGTACCCTCCAGGTTTTGGCCCACCTCAAGCCTAGTCTGCCCAAGAGGTCCCGCCACAATATTTCGCCTATCCTGGAATGCCATCAGCTTTCAACCCAGGACAGTATAATAGCTATATAAATCCTGTATTCACTGAAAAAGCAGTAGAACCAATTCCTGATCTAGATGATTTAAAAGAGAAGGAGAAGGAAAGGATGAAAGTAGAGGCTGAGGAAAGTTCCAAGATTAGCATGCTAGAGCAGAGGCTACGGGCTGTAGAAGGATTTAACTTTTATGGGTCAGTTGATGCTGCTGGGCTCTGCCTAGTTCCTGATGTGGTTATCTCCTATAAATTCAAAGTACCGAAATTTAAAAAATATGATGGTACAAAGTGCCCTAAAACCCACATCACCATGTATTGCAGGAAGATGGTAGCTCATGCACAGGATGAGAAACTCTTGATGCATGTTTTCCAAGACAGTCTTACTGGTTCTGCGGCCAGATGGTATGTTCAGCTGGACAGGACTCGCATTCGCTCTTGGAGCGATATGGCGCATGACTTTATCAGTCAATACCGACATATCATCGATTTGGCCCCAGATCGTTTGTCTTTGCAGAATCTGGAGAAAAAGGCAAACGAATCTTTTAAAGAGTATGCCCAGAGGTGGAGAGATATTACTTCTCAGGTACAGCCTCTTCTGACCGAGAAAGAAACTACAGTGCTATTTGTTAGCACTTTAAAACCTCCCTATTATGAAAAGATGATAGGGAATGCAACAAAAAATTTTACTGATATGGTAATCTCGAGAGAGATCATTGAGAGTGCCATCAAGAATGGTAAGCTAGAAGGAAATGAAGCATCTGGTAAAAGAATCCCGAAGAAGAAAAAAACTGAAGCTCAGGCTGTAAGCTTTGATAGATAACAGTTTAGAGGTTATTCACCCTACCCCGCACCAGAATATCAGTCATATCACCCTGTTGTAAATAACACTTCCTTTCACCCATACCAACCATTTACACAACCACCATACCCTCAAACCTATCAAACCTCTCATAAACCCCAAAATACTATGTACAGTTCTAACATTCAACCTACCCCAAGACCATAAATTCGCCCAACTAACCCTGCTGGTGGCTCGCGGAAGCAACGAACCACTCGTGAAAGACCTATTTTTGACCCTATTCCCATGACCTATACGGAATTATACAAGGAGCTCTACAACAATCATTTGATTGCTCCAAGTAAATTGGAACCCCTCAAGCCACCTTACCCCAAGTGGTATGATCCCACTGCCCACTGTAACTACCATTATGGGATTGCTGGTCACTCCATCGAAAATTGCACTACCCTGAAATACAAAGTGCAACGGTTGATCAAGGATGAGATTATCTGCTTTGATACTGGAGGGATGACTGCACCGAATGTTAGTGGCAATCCTTTGCCAAATCATAATGTGAATGCTATAGGTGAAGAGCATGAGCGCCATGTGAAGAAAGAAGTGGTAAATATTAAGACACCTCTCGATCAATTGTTTGATTTCTTACGAAAAGCAGACATGATACAACTGGTAAGTTCACATAGCTATCATGAAGTATATATAGCTGGTACTAGTGTAAGTATCATAGTGGGGCAAGAGGCCACTCCATTAAGACCTGTAAACAGTTTCACCGAGAGGTGCAAAAACTCCTGAATTCACATCAGATGGAGGTCTACGAAGAAAAAGAAGGCTTGAAGAATACTGAGGTGTGCATGACTGATAGGCCTGAAAAGCTGTTTCTCAAACCAGTGACAATTCGGTGTGGAAACAAACCAAAATCAGTCATAGACAAGCTCCTCCCTAGGCTAGTAACTTTTAAAGTCCCGACTCTTTTTCCATACAAAGATGATAAAGCTGTACCCTGGAGATATGGATGTGACACTGTAGTATAGGAGCAAAAAAAAAGGTCTCCAAAGTTTATGCTTCCAATATTACTGGTGTAGGAGGTATTACTCGAAGTGGGAGATGTTACACCCCAGAAATGCTAAAGAAGGCTAGAAGGGAGAAGGCTAAAGAATGAGAAAGATGAAATAATCCAGAGATAGAGCCTGAAGAAGATCAGCCAAAGCCAATATCAGAAAGGGAGGTTTGTGAATTCCTGAAGCTGGTAAAACATAGCGAATATTCAGTTGTGGAACAGTTGAATAAAATGCCAGCTCGAATCTCATTGTTATCACTGTTGCTGAACTCAGAGCCACATCGAAATGCCTTGCTGAAAGTGTTGAATCAGGCATACGTGGCACATAACGTGTCTGTCGAATATGTGAATCACCTGGCTGGAAACTTAATCATGCCAAATCACATTTCATTCAGTGATGATGAGATTTCTTTAGAGGGAAAGAGAAATGCTAAGGCTCTGCATATCACAGTCAAGTGCAAGAGCCATATCATAGCTAAAGTCCTTATCGATAATGGTTCTGCCATCAATGTCATGCCTATGTCAACTTTGGCAAGGCTACCCATCGATTATTCTCATATTAAGGATAGTCAGATGATTGTGAGAGCCTTTGATGGGACCAAAAAAGAAGTCTTGGGGGATATTGAGATGCCCTTACAAATTGGGCCATGCACCTTCAATGTAAAATTTCAAGTGATGGACATCTCTCCATCCTACAGTTGTTTATTAGGAAGACCATGGATTCACATGGCAGGAGCTGTGCCCTCTACTTTACATCAAAAGATCAAGTTCAATGTAGAAGGTCAATTGGTAGTAGTAGTTGGGGAGGAAGACATACTGGTGACTCAACCATTGAACACTCCATATGTAGAGGCCGCCGAAAAAGCATTGGAATGCTCCTATCGATCTTTTGAATTGGTCAATACTGTAGGTGAAGGATTCCAAAGTCAGCCTTTTTCAAAGATAGTGGTGAGCCAAGTCATCAATAAAGGCTGGTGTCCAGGACTAGGGCTAGGCAAAAATTTACAGGGAATTAAAGAACCTCCAACAATAGCAGACAATAGCGATAGGGCAGGCTTAGGCTATGAGATGGCAGAGTGGGAAGTCAAAAGGAGGCCATCAAGAAAGACACCAAGACTGATGTCTATCCCACATTTATATGAAACCTTCAGACCTGGAGGATTCATGAACCCAGATGCTAGAAAAAGTGTGGAAGATGATTTTGCCCAGTTAGCCATTAATGCTGTTGAAGATGAGGTAAGGGTAAATCAAGAAGAGTGGGTTCGTCTCTGTCCACCAGATTATGAGCTGAACAATTGGAGTGCTATTGAGATGCCTTCGACTTTTGATTTAGATGCAATGTAATTGTAGCATCCCAATAGCTATTGCCCAAGGCATTGGGGTGATCTTTTTGTTCGGGCCATTCATCATTTATTATTTTTAATAAAATAGAAAGGATGCATTTTCATTCATTTCTTCTTATACCTTCATTATTTCTATCTTTCCAAGCACATCTTGCCAACATATCCCATTTCATTCAATTTCAGGTCTTTAAATGAATATGGAGATAATCATGATAACAATCAAGAGGTTAGCTTTCAGAATTCGATTAATACTGATGAACTTGACAATGAAGAGAATTCTGAAGAATATGTTATGCCTCCGGACCTAATGAGGATGATTGAGCAAGAAAATAAGCCAATTGAACCTCATCAAGAGGTGGTGGACTTAGCGAATCTGAGAGACGAAGAAAATAAGAAAGAGGTCAGAATAGGTACTTCACTTTCGTCGAGAGATAGGCGACGATTGGCAGACCTACTTCGAGAATTTGTAGATATATTCGCTTGGTCTTACCAGGATATGCCAGGATTGAGCACAGAGATAGTGGAGCACAGATTACCCTTAAAGCTAGAATGTAAGCCAGTTCAATAGAAACTGAGACGGATGAAGCCCGAAATGCTACTAAAGATTAAAGAGGAGGTGAAGAAACAATTTGATGCAGGTTTTCTACAAGTGGCTAAGTACCCAGAATGGGTAGCCAATATAGTTCCGGTTCCTAAAAAAGATGAAAAAGTACGAATGTGTGTGGACTATCGAGATTTGAATAAGGCTAGCCCAAAGGATAACTTTTCTTTGCCTCATATTGACACACTAGTAGATAACACAGCTAAGCATTCGATTTTCTCCTTTATGGATGGTTTCTCGGGGTGTAATCAGATAAAGATGGCTGCAGATGATATGGAAAAGACTACTTTTGTGACCATGTGGGGAACTTTCTGCTACAAAGTTATACCTTTTGGGTTAAAGAATGCTGGGACAACATATCAAAGGGCCATGGTAACACTCTTCCATGACATGATGCACAAAGAGATCGAAGTGTATATAGATGATATGATTGCAAAGTCTTGTGGGGATGAAGATCATGTCACCAGCCTCAGAAAGTTATTTGAGAGGTTGAGAAAATTTCAGCTAAAATTAAACCCAACCAAGTGCACCTTTGGGGTAAAGTCAGGGAAGTTGCTAGGCTTCGTAGTCAATGAAAGAGGAATTGAAGTCGATCCCGACAAGATACGAGCCATCCAGAATTTGTCACCTCCCAGCACACCAAAAGAAGTTCGAGGTTTTCTGGGGAGATTGAACTACATTTCTCGGTTCATCTCTCAGCTTACTTACAAATGTGATCCCATCTTTAAGCTTCTCCGTAAAGATAATCCTGGAAAATGGAATGAAGAATGTCAAGAGGCGTTTGATAAAATTAAGCAATATTTATCAAACCCTCCAGTATTGGTGCCACCTGTTCCATGGAAACCTTTAATCTTATACTTAACTGTATGTGAAAATTCGATAGGATGTGTGCTGGGGCAGCAAGACGAGGCTAGTCGGAAGGAGAGAGCTATTTACTATCTGAGTAAAAAGTTCACGGAGTATGAATCCAAGTATTCTTCATTGGAGAAAATATGTTGTGCATTAGTGTGGACTACCAAAAGACTCAGACAGTACATGCTCTACCATACTACGTGGCTCATAGCGAAACTGGATCCCATTAAGTATATCTTCGAGAAGTCTTCTTTGTCTGGAAGAATTGCTAGATGGTAAGTAATGCTCTCGAAATACGATATTGTATACGTGAGCCAAAAAGCAATAAAAGGGGGCGCTATAGCAGAATTTCTTGCAGATCATGCTGCTGAAGAGTATGAGTCGATGAAGCTAGAATTTCTTGATGCAGACTTGATGACTATTTCCCAACTGGAAGAAAGGGAGCATGGAGAAAAATGTTGAAGAATGTACTTTGATGGAGCTGCCAATGCCTTGGGGCATGGAATTGGGGCAATTTTGATTTCTCCAGAAGAACAGTACTACCCTGTAACAGCGATGTTAAATTTTAATTGCACAAATAACATCGCTGAGTATGAGGCATGTGTTATGGGCCTGCAAGCTGCTATAGAAAGAAGAGTGAAAGCACTGAAAGTGTTTGGAGACTCAGCTCTAGTTATATACCAGTTGAAAGGAGAATGGGAGACGAGAGACTCAAAACTCGTTTCATATCATAAGTATATTCTAGAGTTGACGAAACAATTTGAAGATGTCCAGTTCGATCACTTACCTCGGGAAGAAAATGTGATTGCTGATGCATTGGCTACTCTGGCTGCAATGATTCGAATTAATGATGACACCGACATTCGCCCATAAAGTTAGATGTTAAGGATATACCAGCGTATTGTTCTAATGTAGAGACGGAAGAAGATGGAAAACCCTGGTATTATGACATCTTACAGTATGTCAAGGATCAGCAGTATCCAGTTCATGCAACAAAAAATGATAAAAGGGTCATCCGAAGATTGGCTATGAGCTTTTTCCTGGATGGAGATATCCTTTACAAAAGAAGCAAGGATCAAGTACCATTGAGGTGTGTAAATGAGACTGAAACGAAAAAAAATCATAGAAGAGGTGCATGATGGAATATGTGAGGCACATACTAGTGGACATATGATGGCAAGACAGATTATGAGAGCGGGATATTACTGGTTGACGATGGAGAATGATTGCATTGACTATGCTCGTAAATACCATAAATGCCAGATATATGCTAATAAGATTCATGCTCCGTCATCTGCTTTACATGTTATGGCACCACCATGGCCATTTTCAATGTGGGGCATGGATGTCATTGGTCCAATTACCCCAAAGGCTTCTAACAGGCACAGATTCATTTTTGTGATGATAGATTACTTCACAAAATGGGTAGAAGCAGCT